GCGCCGCCGGCCTGGACGCACCGCGGCCCCGTGCACGCCGCCCCCGCCGCAGGGGCGGCCGGCGGCTGGGGGAAGGCCCTCGGGCAGCGGTGAAGCGTCCTGGCTTGCTTATTCCAAATGCCTGATTAATCCACCCCCCCCTTAAAAAACCGGACCCCCTTCCAAATGCGACCTGATATTCCGGACCCCCCTCTTCGACGAGGCGTCTAAACTGGACCCCCGTAGCTCCAATCCAAACAGAGCGCCCTACTAAACCAGACCAGCTTGCCCAGCTTGCCTGCAGGGTGCCCTGGGTTTCTTGGGTTTGAATGGCTCTGATATGGGAGAGCGCATCGTTGCCACACCAACGATCTGTGGACGTCCTGGGGTCTCAGGGTTGGGTTTCTGGTGGAAGGTCTCTTGTGGACTGGCCTCCGCTCTATCTAGGCCTCCTATAGATGTGGTCAAATTAGATGGGGTCGGAGGATCGCGCCGCATCACCGATGCATCGGCGATGCGGCTCGACGTGTAGCCCGATGTGCTTCAATCTCGCCGACGCATCGCCGACGTCGCGGGAGCATCGGCGATGCATCGCCGATGTATCGGTGATGCGGCGAGATCCTCCGACCCCATCTACTCGGACCTCATCTAGGAGGTCTCTACCATAGGCCCACCAAAGGATGTTCTAAAATCGTTTGCGGTCTGCACGACACGATCTCATAATGCTTCTTGCCGAGGTTGTCTTTGTGTTCGCCCATCGGGTTTATGTTCTGAGAGCAGATTGCCTTTGCTCTCAGAACACGCTTGGGATCTAAGACCATGCCGTGGTAGGCCTCTAGGAATGCCGGAACGCCCGGTCCCTGCTCAATCAGGCGGAGGAGGAGGAAGGAGGAGGAAGGACGAGGAGGAGGAGGAAGAGGAGTGGTAGGCCTCTAGGAATGCCGGGACGGCCGGCCCCTGCTCCATAAGGCGGACGCTCCATGGTCGCCGCTGCCGCGGTGGATCTGCGAGGCGCCCACGGGGGGGTCGGGCTTCGGGAGAAGGAGGAGAAGCAGGAGGAGGAGGAGGAGGAGGCCGAGGAGGAGGAGGCGGAGGAGGAGGAGGAGGCGAAGGAGGAGGAGGACGAGGAGGAGGAGGACGCGGAGGAGGAGGAGGCGGAGGAGGAGGGTGAGGCCGAGGAGGAGGAGGAGGCGGAGGAGGAGGAGGAGGCGAAGGAGGAGGAGGACGCGGAGGAGGAGGACGCGGAGGAGGAGGAGGCGGAGGAGGAGGTGGAGGAATCGGAGGAGGAGGAGGAGGAGGAGGCGGCGGAGGAGGAGGAGGAGGAGGAGGCGGAGGAGGAGGAGGAAGAGGAGGAGGAGGAGGGGGAGGAGGAGGAGGAAGAGGGGGGCGGTGGAAGCCCAGCAGCAGGCGGGCCTCCACCCGCCCCGGCTCCGCGAGAGAGCGACCAGGAGCGCGCATGCCCTGCTCCTTGTCACTTCTTTGACGTCGGGCATGTCCCTCTACAGGAGGACTGTCCAAGAATAGTTTAAAGCATGTTCTAGGGACGTCAGTTCGGCTAGTCTTGGTTATTGTTGGGTTTGGTTGGACTATGTCTGGCTATGTTTGACACTTTTCCTTGTTGAATAAGTATGCTTTGACTACTTTTTATTATTCTTCCAGAGCCCGCCTGTAGGAGGACATGCCCGACCCAACACTTCTTCCTCCTCTGGCCTGGATCGGGGGTCGCGGCTCGCAGTCCCGGAGCTGTGCAGCCCCCACTGTTTGCTGCTGCTTCTTCGTTCAGGGGTGCAGTCGCCCCGTCGGTCGCCTTGACTAGAATTCTCGAAGAAAAAACGCCAAACAACATTCAACTTTGGCGCTCCGCGCGGGTTTCTTGAATCGGCGCCTGCAGCTCCCCCCGGCAGCGCCTCCGGCGCCGCCCCTGGCGCGCTCCGCGCGCCAGGGAGGGGGAGTCTGGCGCAGGTGCAAGAAATCCGCGCGGAGCGCCAACAAAATTATGTCTATGCCGTTCTTTCTTCTCCTGGTTGTGCAGCCCCCGTGTTTGTTGTTCTTTCCTCTCCAGTCGCCCCGTTGGCCGCCTTGACTAGATTTCGCATGCGTCTGGCTGAGCACATCCGCTTGCCAGCTGCTTGGACTTTGCTTGCCGACGACCTCCTCCAGTTTGGTGGTCTTCTCTCGCATGTCGTGCGACAGTGATTCATCGGCCCTTCAGATGGCATCTGACGCTAAATTCATCATGCAGCCTCATATAGTGAGATGATATTATCAATGATACTCCCCCGCTGGGACGCGAATGTCATGATCGACGCTTCGCGTATCCCCAGCAGTCTGTTGCTTCGGCGCGGCTCGCCCTAGCTTTGCCCGGCTTTCGACCTGCTTCGCGAGCCCGCGCACCAACAAAAAGTATCCCCAGCAGTCCATCCAACAACGATTTGTTTTGTATTGGGTATTGTTGACTCCCCTACCCCAAAGGTGCGCGCTTCTCTAAGTCGTGGCGCATCAGGGCAGGGCAGATTTGCGTCAGTCTCTTCTGCGGCAGCTAGTTCATGTTTTTTTGTTGGAGCGGTTGCCCGTGCCAGGCCAGCAGCTCATTTCTTTTCAGCCCCATTGTGGACAGGAGGCTCCGACCTCAGATTGGTTCGCTCCTATGTGCCGTGGTTGTATGAGGATGAAGGAGAAGAGAAGGACCAGAAGGTGGGGGTAGGAGAAGACGAGGAAGAGGATGAGGAATAAAGAAGGGGACGGCGATGTTGGGCTCCATCGATGAATACAAAAACACATATTTCGCGGAACGGCGAGAAGGCAAACCACATTGATTTGTTGTATGCGTTTGGAGGAGTTGAGCCTCTTGGGGGGCCTTCTTGGGTGGTTCCGTGGCCACTTTGGCCCGTCTTGGACCATCTTCAGCCATGTTGTGATCTCTTGAACCATCTTGGATGCCATCTTGGGCTCCCTGAGTCCCTCTTGAAGCCTTGGGCCATCTTGGACGCCCCAACGACCCGTCGCCCCCCTCCCCGGCACAGAACCAAGGCAGGGGGTATGGGGGACGGGCAGACCGTCCTCGACTGGGGGACGGAAGGGTTCTGGAAGAGGGAGGGATCGAACCCGTCCTGCCACCTCCGCCCCCAGGGCCGGGGGGACGGGGCGCACCCCGCGCCGCTGCCTAGGCCAGAGCGACGAGATGCTCCGAGCCTCCCATCCTGCCTCCCTGCGTCGTCCCTCTGCCTCGCTGATCCCTCCCCCTTTATATCGCTGATCCCTCGCCCCTCTCCCCCAGGGTCTCCTTGGCCACGAGGCTGCCACAGCCCTGTGGGAGTCAAAAGAGCCAGCTCCTCTCCATCCCCCTTCTCTCTTTCCTCCTCCTCCTCTTCTCACGCGGGGCGGCGAGAGGGCCACAGCGCGCGCCTCCTCCCCGCGCCGCGCGGCGCGGGAGCCGACGAGGACCGGCGCGGGTGGCCCGTGGAGGCCCCCCCCCCCTGGAAGGTCCCCGGTGGCGGTCTGGGCTTGGGCTCTCACGCCACGGGAGGCAGCGCTGGCGGGGGTCAGCGCTGGCGCCCGGGAGCCGCTTCACTCCAGCAAGTACGGAGGAAGCGGCCCCCGGGCGGCCATTCACACTCCTGCGCCCGGCCCTCGCCCCTGCCCAGGAACCCTCCCTGGAGGGCCTCGCCCCACACAGGAACGTCATCACTCGGATCTGGCCCTTTCCGTTACCTGCTCAGCACGGGGACGGAAAGCGCGTACACGTTGTGGGGGCGCGAGGTCGTTGGCTTAGCCACGCCAGCGCTGATCTCGGTTTGGGAGCCACGTTGCTGATGCAACTCCTGTGGGAGGTCAAAGTCTGTCTCTGCCCTGGTCCGAAATCCGTCTTGCTCTGGCTCATTCCCGCTGAATCCGGCTTAATCCCGCTACATCCGCGGCCTTATCCGGCGCAGTAGTCTCCCAATGGGGCTCAAATCTCCTTACTCTTTCCGACGAAGACCTCCCAGTAGTTGCCTCCTGACCACGTGGGGCCGATTGACCCTACCCCCCTGCCCTCCCATGACACGGCTTAGGATCTACTCATCGGCCAGTTGGGCTTCGCGACGGGGCTTTGGCCCACCCGGGTTACCCAGCTTGAGGTCCCCGGGGGCCTCCAGGGGCAACGTCAGGGGGGGATAGGCTCAGGGGGGATAGTCAGGCGATCGCAAACATGGATTAAGGGGGCGTGGACTAGCGACGGGTCCCGTTTCCATGGGAAATCGCTGATTTCCGCCGCCGAGCGAGGCGGCACCGGCCGCATTTTCCCCGATCCATGAATTTGGCGACCGCGCGCCAAATCCATGGATCGCTAATCCACGTTTGCGCGCTCCCGAGAGAGGCTCAGGGGCAACGTCAGGCGGGGAGCACCATTTGATCGCCCATTGGAGATAGCCCGCCCTGCCCAGGAGCGTGCCGAGTCGCCAAATGGGTCCTACCAGCGATGTATCGCCGATTCCAGTTCGTTCTTTCTTCAGTCCTTAGCCAATCCCTCGTGTTTTCGTCTCGTTCCAACGTTTCATGTTTTAGTGTTGTAGTGTTGCTGTGTTGTCACCCAGGCCAAAGTCACCTGCGTGTGCTTGCCAATTGCAGGTCGGTGCGCATTGCGTTCATGGATTGCCTGACGAGCTGTCTCTTCATTTTGTTGCTTCACGGGTTGCCAGTTTCGTTGCGCCGTGGAGGGGGAAACAGAAACAGGAGGTTTATTGTTTTCTTATTCACTGTTTTGCCGATCGGCGCGGGCCCTCGCACCCCCCCCTCCCCCCCCCCTCATGGAGTAGATGTTGGCTGTTCTGAGCGCCCTTTTCGAGCAGGTGGAGTCTCCCCCGCAGGACGCACGGTTCCAAACAGTCGCACTAAGCAGAGGTCCGGAGCCAGACACCCCTCCCCCCCTTCCGCCCAATGTCAAAACGCCGAATCAGAAAACGCCCGCTGGCTTCTTGAGGCTCCCAGAGGCTTGACAAGTTCCAGAAGCACATCCCCGAACCCCCGTCCTCGATCCCCGCGAGCTAGCCTCGCCCACCTGTTCTCTCCGCCCTGCTGCCCCTCGCCCGCGCGCGCCCCAGCCGGAAGCGCCGATGGAGCCGTCGGCGTACCGGAGCCGCCGCCTGCCCCTGCCGCGCGCGTTGCCGACCTCGCGCCCGTCGTCGTCGTCGTCGTCGTCGTCGTCGTCGTCGTCGTCGTCCTCGTCCTCGTCGTCGTCGTCGTCGTCGTCGTCGTCGTCGTCGTCGTTTGCCGCGCTTGTAGTTTTGGCCGCTGTCGTCGACGTCGTGATCACTGCCGTCGTGGTCGTCGACGACGTCCGCCGCGGTCGTCGCCAAAGTCGTCGTTGTTGCCGTTGCAGTCGTCAGCGTCGTCGTCCGTCGTCTTCTATCGTTGTCGTCGTCGCGCCGTGGTGGCCGCGTTCGTTGTCGCCGTCGTGGTCGTAGCCGTCGTCGTCGGAAGGCATCTGGCGCCTTGTACAATCAGACGGCAGGAGTTTCTGAGCGTGGTCCCCCACTTGCTCGTTTCGGGGCCCAGGGCAGAGAAGAACGACCCCGCGGCTGAAAATCTGTTCGAGAAATGGAGTCCTGAGCTCCGTAGTTCTGCCAGGAGCATCGGAGGCCTGGATTGTCGTCGTCCTTCTCCCTGCTTAGTGGACTCTGCCTCGTCCGATGATCCCTCCGGTAAGATTCTCAGTGGGGCGCATGTTAGAGGCATAGGCCGTTGCCTTGGAGGGCGCGGCGCAGGGACTGCGATCGTGGATCGTTGTCCGTGACTAGTTGCCATCTTCCTCGTCTCCCCCCCTTTTCCCCCCGCCCTTGCTCCACTTGTAATCGCTGCTTTCATGCTGTTGCTGCGCTGTCCAGGGTCGCTGCGTCATGTCTCGCACGCTATTAGGGGTAGCTTCACGAAGCCTTGTCCGCCACCGAGAGCAAGGAGACCGGGGCCCTCCTCATGTAATTACCTCCTCGTCCTCTCTCCGCGTCTGACGCTTCACGTCTCTGGGCCCCCTATTGTCCAGAGCATCGCACCAATTTCGAACGTCGGACCCCCCTCGCGTTCTCGAGCCGAGTCTCGTCTCATTCCCGCCCCTCCTCGCTCAACGCCCGTTCCTTTGTTCGCTCTCCTCCGTCTCTGGCTCCGCCCCACTCCTCCGCCATCCTTGCGATGGATGCTGGTCCTCCACCACCCCCATCCCTCTCCTCGCCCTCGCTCGCCCAGCGGAGGCTACATGATCGCGGGGGGGGCCGGATGGATGGAGACGACGACGACGACGACGACGAAGACGACGAGGAACTCGCCCACCCCCAATCCCGCTCCCAGGACCGTGCAGGAGATCGAGTGACGTCGAGGAGCCCCGCGGGGCGGAGTGCCCTGGTTTTCTCTGTCCCTTCCTTTTCGTCTCGGGTTTCTCCTCTCTGCTCTTTCGTCTGTGCTGTCTCGTCTCTTATCTCTCCTGCCATTTCCTCTCTGCTCTTTCGTCGTCCCCTCCGTCGTCTCTCGTTTTCCCTTTTCTGTTCCAAGGCCTCGTCCTCGTTCCATGCTTCGCCTTCTATCATCATTCCCTCCTCGTACCTCCTCTCCCCTCCCTTAGTTCCTCCTCCCTCATTTATCCTCTCCCCCCCGCCGTCTTCTTTCTTGATCCCTCACCCCGCGGTCCCTTGCATAATGATTCATTCTGAGTGTCACAGGCACCCCCTTCTCCTCGGGCGACGCGATTTCGCGCTCCCGCGCCCGTCCAGTCGCGTGTGTCGTGCTTCTCCGAAGTTTCCAGTATATTCTCCGTTTGTTTTCCGAGCATGTTCGGCCGTCGCGCACGGAACCTGGACCCCTTCCGGGGACCGGCTTCTCATCCTGAGCCCTTCCTCGACGGTCCCGAGGCCCGGCGAGGGCCTCCAGAGGCCGAAAACAGCGAAAGACCTCCCGTCACGTCTTTCTCACGACGCGAGGGGCGTCTGGCCCTCCCCGCGCGCAGGAGGCGCAGGGCCGCGCGAGCGCAGCGGCCGCCCTCGGCGCCAGCGTGCCGTGCTGGGCGCTTCCGCCGACGAGCTCCGCGCAGGCGGGGCCGCCCCCCGGGGAGGCTGGCCGCGGCCGCGGCGGGCCTCCGCGGGGCGCGCGGACCGGGGCCGTTCAGGAGCCGGGAGCGGGCAGGGGAGGGGGGCGTTGGGGGAGGAGGAGGAGAAGGAGGAGGAGGAGGAGGAGGAGGAGGAGGAGGAGGGAAAGGAGGGGGAGGGGAAGGGGGGGGGGGGGAAGGAGGGGAGGAGGAGGAGGAGGAGGAGGAGGAGGAGGAGGAGGAGGGAGGAGGAGGAAAAGAAAAAGGAGGAGGAGGAAAAGAAACAGGAGGAGGAGGAGGAGGAGGAGGAGGAAGCAGGAAGCAGGAAGGAGGAAGGAGGAAGGAGGAAGGAGGAAGGAGGAGGGAGGAGGGAGGAGGAGGAGGAGGAGGAGGAGGAGGAGGAGGAGGAGGAGGAGGAGGAGAGGGAGGAGGAGGAGAGACAGGCAGCTTGGAAGTTCTGTAGGCTATCAAACGTATAGGCCTATGGTGGTGGAGGTGTGGTGAATTTTGAGGTTTGGAGGTGGTGGAGTTAACAATGACGTTCTAGGTTGGGTGAGCCCATGAGCCCCATCCTACTCCACGTTCTCCCTGCAGCAGGGAGCCCAGAGCTGGGAAGTTCCAGCATCCTGGAGCGGTGGTGAGGAAGAGAGCAGCTGTGGTCTCCGTATACCCCACACCGCCCAGTGCATCAGCCTCCGCTAGCAGTGAGAGGGCCCGCCAGTTTTGTAGCTAAACCCAAGTTGGTCCCCTCCTCCAAAAAACGGCCTGCGCCCAAAGAGGAGGAGGACAGGGCCAAGAGGCCCAAGCCAAGTACGGTTTTCGAGGATGTGGCGGCCCTTCACCAGCGCGCTTGAAGAGCAGAGGAGGAGGAAACTCAGCTCCGCCAGCAGCTAGCCACGGTCAGGGCGGAGCGGGATGCATTCGCCAATGGGCTGGACCGTGAGCCCTGCAGCCAGCACCCAACTCCCCGACGAGGGTCAGGGGAAAGAGGCTGGCAGCGATGAAGTTTTCTAGGCCACCCCTATGTAAGCCCAGCGGTCCAGTCGTGGTTATGTGGCCTTAGCAGTTTCTAGCCAACAAGGCTGGGCTAACATTGAAGACATTTAACTTCACAGGCCTCTGGTGGAGGAAGAGTGGAGGGTTTCGAGTATTAGCGTGCGTGGGTGTGCGTGTGCGTTGGGCCTTTGGCTCCCCTGCGTGGTGTGCACTGGAGGAGGAGGCCCCGTTCACCCCTCCCCCCCCCACCTTCTGGCGTTCACCGCCACGCTTTCCCTCCGCAGCCTCCCGCTCCTCAGGCCTCTAAATGATCTGCGCCCCACCGTTGCGTTGAATGAGTGCAGACTCGGCAGATCAGAGCAGGTACCACCTCATAGAAGACGAGGACCCGCCTCCAGAGGTTACAGGCCCTTTCGTGCCGAGGCGGAGTAAACCCCGTACAGGCTCAACGCCTACTAGTGGCCATTGACACCCGCCTGATGTTGAACAGGCCGTGGACATCGAGGGTGCCCCCGCAGTGGCACCCCCTAGGCACAGGCCACCTGCTCCCTTCCCTTCCCACTTCCAATTTTTCCCCGCTTCCCTCCCCCCTTCTGTCCACTTTTTGGTTCCTTGCGGCTGCTGGTAGTGATTTTTCTCAGGCCAGTGCTGGACTAGTGGACGGGGGTGGGGTTATGGGTTTGTGGGTGAGAGCAGCTGCGGGGGGGAGAAAGCGAACGTCGCCCGTCCCGCTTCATCGTGCCACTGAAGTTCGGCACGCTTGTGGCGGTGGACGCGCAGGCGCGGGCGCGTCCGAGGCGCCAGGAGGGGGAGGACGATGCTCCCTGCTCCCTCTTTCTTGCTTTGGTGTAGGATGAGCTAGCTCGACCTGCACCCTTGGCCAGAAACCCAGAAACGCAGAGTAGGAGGAGGAGGGGAGGGGGGTTTTCATCAGCGATGCTCCAGCCAACTCACGCCGACAGAAAAAAAGGCTCGACCTTGACCTGGGGAAACTCGGGGGCCTTCTCTTGAGGAGGCCGGACCAGGTAGAGATCGCGAAACTGTTGGCAGGCCTGTCCAAACACTTCTTACGAAGGTGTCTGAATTGACCGCCATTGGAAGGTGCCTTGCACTTCTCACAGGCACATAACAGAACGCCGTCGCTGCAATCAACAACTTTCAATTGGCGCTGCATTCGCCCGATCTCGAGGGCGGCCTCGGGCAGGACGCCCACTCAACACTCGGAGGCTGATGATCCGAGCGGCGGAATCTCAGACAACGCTGGCATCTCCAAAAGGAGCGGCACCATGACCATCCATGCAACTGCACAGGCACATCTGCTGGCCGGCGGCCCTCGCCTGGGGCTCTCAGCACCCCGTCGTGGCTCAGGCGGGGCCAAAGAGGAAGAAGTTGAGCCGCCATGGCGCACACCTTGCGATCGATGAGCACATGGCGGTCGATATCGACCAGTTCAGCTGCAGAGGGCATCGGGTGGGACCAGGCACCGCGCTTCGCCGCGGCATCGGCAGCGTCGTTCCCAGTCTTGTAGAACAGTTGCTTTGGCGAGAGGTCGCCTGTGTCAGACACGTGCGCTTTCACTTCACTTTCACCCCGGTACCTAGTCTGAGACAGAATTACAAGCACACCAGCATACAGCCTCTTGTATAAAACCTGACGGGGGTACAGGAGCCTTAAAAGCTTGGACCACATTGGCGCAGCCCGAGTACCCCGTCGAGGGTCCGCTTAGGAGCTCACTGGTGGCGCCGAGCCGAGGCCGCAGAATTCACCAGCCTGGGAAGTCTGATGGAGGAAGCGAGGAACAAGTCCACAGAGGGTGCACTTGAGCTCCCCGGCTTCTTTATATACAGAAGCCCACCCAGCCAGTTCGAGACATCTCCACAATCGGGCTTTTCCGCCCAGAGCCGTCGAAGAAGACATGGCCTTCAATGTCCGTGGAAACGTTGTCGGGATTACCTTCCCAAACCACCTGCATGCCTCCCTCTTCCACGGGCGCCTGGACGTAGTCACCTGGGTGTGGGGATCTGGCCTTGGTGAACAGCACCCAATCGGGATCTTCTGGGCCAAGAGCCAGGGCCTGATCGATCAGGGACTGATCCACAATCTCGGCATGCTGCGCACTGACGGCCTGGCATTGCCATAATCAGTGAAACATGGTGTCTGGGGCAGCACCGCACTTGCTGCAGAGCGACGAGTCCAGGAGGTAGCCACATTCGACAGCTCTGATACCTGTCCAGCACGCTCCGCAAACGAATAACCCGATGCAACCTTTCTCGAAAGGCCCCCACCTACGGGACCTCAGTTCTTTCAGCGCGATGTCATAGTACGCCCGAGCTCCGAGCCCCAAAGAAGTCCTAGACTGCCGCTGCAGATGCCGAAGGACCCCTTCCCGAAGAAGCTTTTGAGCATCTTGGGTGATGTGGGGGTCATAGAAAGCCCGATCTTCTGATCCGTGAAGATGTTGGTGAAAGAGCCCATGCCCCTACCGATGCGCTCCAGAGAGGCCCGGGGCGCTGACAGGGGGCCCGTGACCGTGTTCCACGGAAGCGGCTCGCCCGAAAAGGCCGCTTCCCAAGCAAACCTGAGCTCACAGAATTCCAAAGAGTATGGACACTGTCGGGCGGCAGTCAGCCACACCTCCTTTGCGTACCTGAGGACCGGGGCGATGGCAGCGTAGTAGCACGGGTCGTGCTCCAAAATGCTCAGCGCGGTGAGGCTACGGGACCCTGCCGAACGCTTCGCCGTCTTTCCGAAGGAACGCTTGCGTAATAACAACTCGTAGTCGGAGGTGCCGTGCACCTCCGCGCCACAGGTCGCTCCTGCAAGGGGCTCTGCAATCAATATCTTGCGAGACTTCGAGGACGAGGGGGTTCTGCAAGACCATTTTCCCAAAGCACTTCTGAGGACGTCGAACTCTGGCCCGAAGCGTGCGAACACGTTCGTGCTTTTTTGAACCTTTCATCCTCGTGCAATTTCCTCAGCGAGCGACCTGCCGCGTCGTCTACACCAAGGTTGGTAGCCCTGCGTGCCGAAGGACCTCCAGCAAATCGACCGAAGAAAGATTGCAATTTCTTGCCAAGGGAAAATGAGGACGCAATGATCGAGGCCTTCTCTTCGGCCACCGACGCGTGCAAATCTGTAGCGATGGCCACCATGATCTTGGAAACACCTTCTTTCAGATCGACAGAGACCGAGGACTCAGGCCCAGTAGACGAAACACCGTAATCATCGATGTAAACGTCCAGAAACAATGACCCAGGGAGCTTCAGGGGGTCAACCACTGGGATGACGTAGATCCGCACGAACGTAGTGGCCATCGAGCAGCCTGCCACCACGCCATTGATGGCATAGGAAGGGCCCAATGGAAAACATTAGACATCGTGAGGAACCTTGCTCCACGGTGCGCGCAAAAGCACACTCGGAGAACCTGCACCGGGAAGCTTAATGCACGGGCTCGTTTTTCTAAGAGGGGCAATTGCATGCTCGCGTAGAACTTCCGGAGGTCCCAAAGCAACATAGCAGCCGCCTGGCCGCGCTTGACCCCAGATTCGCTCTGGACCGACTGCCGCCAGACCACATCTGAAACCCCATTGCACGTAGAAGCCGCCAGGTAGTTTCTAGCACTCTCCAGCTCCCAGGCGGACGCCATGCTCATACGGGCACTACCCCAGAGACGAGCTAAAAAGGCCGATTGGCCGAGAGCCCCCTTGAGGCTTGGAAAGGAGGGCCGTCTGGAGCACTTGCATGTGATACGGCAGGAGCCTTGTGGCCTCGCAAATCTGCATCATGATGCTGAACGCTGTCAGACAATCGTCCGACATGCTGGCGAAGTGGCGCATGTGGAAGCCGTCGACAGAAATGCAAGTTGCATCGAATGGCTGCGAGATACCTGACGGATCTGGTACGGGGTAAGAGCCTCCAAAGGATCAAGGACGTCCAGGGGATCGGGGTTCCGACCTGGCAGCCTATCGGCCAACCACAAATCTGAGAAGCGGGCGGCTTCCGTCTCCAAC